GATAATTTCGAAGGACATTGAACGTGAGTTACTGTGTGTCTCGTGACCTTGCTTCGTTTCGCTGGCCTGATGTCTTGAGTTTACGTATTCGTTTCGGATAGCTAGCTTTACTTGTCACGGAGACTAATTTTTGGGTTTCGATCGTTCAGTGTCGTTTAATCGACATGAGTATTGACGATATATCGATTCTGATTTTTTTATGATTCTTCTGACATTGTTTTTGACTTTTGATTTGTTCTTTTTTTACTTTTGGATAATTAGATCTTTCAATTTGATTATCAGAATTGGTTTTGACTAATTTGACTACGTGTGCACTTTCTGATTTTTGTTAAAAGAATCTTTTATTATTTTGATGATTGTAGAGTTGTTTAATTTTTGAGTCATATGATTGTTGATCGGTTGAAACAACCAAATAGGGGGTTTTCAATTAATTAATCTTGAAATGTATCGAGTCATTTAAATTTTATTAAATACTGTGATTTTTCCCCCGCAATTCTGAGTTTAATTTATTTGTTTTGTCCACCTAGTCACATCTCTAGTCTAAGCTCTTTCAGGAACCGATACACGTCTCTTCGTCTGGAGCTAGTGGGAGACCGTTTCGAGCTTAGGGCTAGTTTGATTTTGTGTCTTTCGTTCCAGTGGTCATTCTGGTAATAACGACCTGGCGCTCAACTTTTTGTCGTTTTAGTTTCTACGTGAGTGCCAGAGGGCTGCGTATTGGACCGAGGGGTTCCGTGAACCTTGGAAATTACGTCACAATACGTACGATTGATCTCGAGTAGCACCGCGTCTAATTAGTTTACAATACTCATCTGTTGTCAGCAGGGTCGAGGTCCAACAATTTTTAGACCAAATGCCTCAGGCTGGCGAGCTCTTCCACCAATTGTCACGGGTTGGTCCACTGATGCTGACTCCCCCGATCCCTCAAGGGTGCCCGATGAGTTTCAATGTTAGGTTTTCTGGTTGTGATAGTGAGCTGGCCACGCTCCCTAATCCCAGTACTCTCGCTCCCACAGATTTACCCTGTGCCCCTCAGCACAGCTCCCGGCAGAAGAAGCCTCCGTGAGACCTCCTGGCATCAGCGAGGTTCGGTTTCCCTTCCTCTTGTTGCTAAATTTCGCGAAAATTTCGTTTGTACCCATATGATGGTGCCCTCCTATACCCTGCATTATTCTTTGATATTTATCGCGGTCATTTCGACTGTTACATAAGACCCTGTACTCTACAGTATATATATATATGTGTGTATATAACAAACTTGTCCTTCAATTTCTCGCTAATGAATAGATGGAATTGAATCATTTTTTTTTCAAATGTAAGTATTGCTAAGCCCCATCCATTGCCATTAATTAGAATTTAATTCATTGATCCATTTTTTTAATTTTCGAATTTTTTCCAAATTTAGTTGTAACACGATAACTAAAAAAAATGTTCTAAATTCATTAAATGACGGCTTAAAAAATTCGTTGGGAAGTCCTTTTGATCGAGTTCGAAGATGAAAGCGATAGCAATAATCGTTATTTTGATTTCTGTGAAATTTTCGTAAAATTTTTTTATTTACTCAATTAATACTAGTATTTCAGACGTCCAGGCTAGTAAATAAACACTCACTTGATTCAGTAAATATTGAACTTTAATTATTAAGTAATGATCAACCTTTTTACAGTGACGATTGCTTTTATTTATGTAGATAATCTTGGAGTAACAATTCCGTATATGTGCAAGTGTGACAGGTAAAACAGAGAAGTGAGGTTAATGGGTGAAAGCCTTTCTTCTGGTAATTCAGACTATATGTCGATAATCGATATCGCAGATCTCTATTTTTGGCGCTAATATTCAACACTCCCACTCGACAAAAATATATAAATCTCGTACTCTCGTAACATCTGAAAAATTATAATTCAACAATTCATTATTGATTAGATACATTTTACTATCCCACATTTCTCACGTAATCCTTGAAATTTCCCCTTTGCAAGAGCTTTGGTGAGTGGATCAGCCAGTTGCTCATTTGTTGAAATATATTTTACATTAATGATACCGTCTCGATGCTGTTCGCAACTGTACTTGTATTGAGTATCCACATGTTTTGATCTCTGGCTGGATTCTGGATGCTTGACGAGCAGAATAGCAACTTGATTGTCGTAGTGTACCTGAATGGCATCACCGGCCTCTGCACTTATCTCCATCTGTATCCATCCTCCTCAGCCACACAGTCAGCTTAGTGGCTGAACACCATGCCATGAATTCAGCTTCTGTTGCAGACGTAGCAAGAGCACTTTGCTGACGTGATGACCACGACACAGGTCCACTGTTTATCAGATAAATCCAACTTGTGGTACTCCTTCTCATTTCAGGGTCTCTAGCCCAATCTGAGTCCCAATATCCAATGATTCTCTCATCATTTGAACCAAGCTTGTACATGATTCCATATCCTGTAGTTCCTCGCAAGTACCTGAAGACCTACTTGACTTCATTCCAATGCTCTGAACTTGGTTAAGCAGCAAATTGACTAAGAATACTGATAATATAGGCTATATCAGGTCTAGTTATCACCATGAGATACATCATCGATCCAATTGCCTCTCTGTAAGGATAACCACTTCTCCCACTGTCTCCAGAATCATGGATAAATCTTCTCCCTGGGTTTGCTGGTACAGAATGAGATGAACAATTAGTGTGATTGAATTTTTCAAGTATCTTATTGACATAAGCAGCTTGATGTAACTTCAATGCTCCCTTTTCGTCATCCCTTTGGATTTGTATTTCAACAAAACACTCACAAGGAACAC